TGGTCATCATGTCGAGTGAAGGGGTAGCTGCCGCAGCTTTTTGATTCTTGTTGGTTCGACGGATCCTTGTCGGCAATGACGCGCGTGGCGGCTTGCATGATGGTTTGCGCTCTGGCTCGCCCGGCTGCCCGCACTGCGGTCCGGGCCCTGCTTGCTGCCCTGCTTGCCGCCCTGCTCTCCATGCCGCTGCTGATGCGGTGGCAGCGCCGCCGGCGCGCTGCGCTGGCCAATTGGATTGTTACCGAGTTCCGCTGGCCGCGGGCGGAGGACCACGAGGAGGACACTGACCTGCCCGAATCGGAACGAGGCGAGCCAGGCGCTCCGGCGCACATTGCACTGGCTCAGAACCTGGCCTACCTTGCTGCTCACGGTGCCACTGTGGCCGAGAAGGTGGACGTTAGGGAGACATTTATCAAGTAAGGTCTTTGGAATCATCGGGGCTCTTATTGAACACGGAGCAGGGCTCGACCTGATCCCGTGGTGCGCATACTATACTTCAAGGATCATGGGACTTAGTAAGTAGGGTTTAGGGTTTAGGGTACTTCAAGGATCATGGGACTTAGTAAGTAGGGTGATAATAAGGTAAGTATACTTATAACGCCAATTAAGGGACTTATAACCTTACAAACAAAGTCCCGTGATCCTCCAAGTACCATAGGAGCCCCGAAGACCTAAACCCTGTAGTAGTAGAAGCCAGAAAGTTGGAACATGATTGCCCTCATGTCCTCAAGATATAAGTATAAAAGATTCGAGCACTTATCCTCAAAAAAACCATGTTCCAACTTTTTGGGAATCCTTGTTCTGTGCACTCAGACGCTGATCATTGCCTGAGAGCCAGGGTCCATTTGGCAATACGCACGGTTGCTGACTTGTTGAAGCCTGAAGTGGTATCCTCGATCCTGTATTCTGAAGTCCCTCTTTGTCTAGCGGTCTCCTGAAAGCATCGCTTTGGTAGTCTACTGAGCAAGAGGGTTTTGTATAGTCTTGTGTGCATCCAGTCCCGCGCAGCGCAATGAAACCAACTGAAGCCCCTCAGCTGGCAATAAGCAATATAACAAGTAGTATGATGATAAAAGGTTAATAGCAATACTAATATTATATTTAATATAATTATTACATTACTTTTTGAGACAGTACCATACGACTTCGGAAGGACGGGAAGTTGCTGGACCTCTGCAAGAGTGCCTGTAATTAAGTCAAAGGTCTTGGGGAGATTTTTGGGGTTTCATTGCTCAGCGCTTGGAGGTTCATGGGTAGATATAAGTAGGGTTATAAGTGGGGTAACTATAGTTATAAATTATATTAGGGGACTTATAACCCCACTTATGACTACCCATGAACCTCCAAGTGCTGCATGATGGCAGTCCAGGAACACCAGCATCTACGAAACTGTGCTGTAGATTCCGTAGACGCGGCAGCCGTATCTGAAGACCTCATGCAAAGTGCCGAAACCTGGAATCACGATAGTCGTAGCACTTAAGACAACAGCCCAAGACGTAGCTACATCCTCCCGTCTCGCGCAAGAGTGCACATGCCAAGGTGCGAGTATCTTGCGACACCACCCCTTCCTCAAGCAGCACCAGGCATCGGTGGGGTGAGGGTTTGCGTTTTTGTTTACACCCTGGGCCACCATCACACTATTTCAAGTTTACGACAGCCTGAACTGTAGGTAAAAACCCCAGCCATGAAGTCTCTGTGTGTGTATCTATTTACTGCGGCTCGTGATGCAGGGTGCTTTCGGACCAGGGTGGAATCGATGCTTTGAAGCTCTGGAAGTATCATGTGGTCTACTTTTCGAAATTAAGGTCCAGGGTTAACTCTGGTGTGACGGGAGGTGTGTGATGTTCGCATCTGTAGGGGGGCTTCCGAAAATAGGGGACCCTATAGTATAGTACCCTAAATAGTAGGATCCCCATTATAAGGACCCCAAAATATGGTGCCCCTTATTGTCGGAAATTCCTGTATCAACTTACTGAGCAGGCCCAGAACAGAGCATGGACCGCCTGACATGGTACGAGCGCGTAAATCTTAGGATCCGAGGCACGGTAACTACGGCTGATGATATAAATCCTGCATGTCCCGTTATTACGTAAAATACTATGATTCCCATTGTTTAGGGTCCTTAAGGCCCTAGGGATCAAAATAGCCCAAAAGCCTTATATAGTACGGTCTTTGGCCCAAAAGCCTTAATATATGAGTCCTTAGATCCCTAGGGAGGTAAGGCAGGATTTATATCATCAACAGTATGACCCAAGCCTCCCTGAGAAAGTCCAGCATGAAGCTCCAAGTCCCCGGAGCCCCGAACCCTGACTCCCAAGGCATAGGGTTTAGGGGTTTAGGGTTCAGGGGCTTTGGGTTTAGGGGTTTAGGGTTTAGGCTTTTAGGGTTTAGGGGCTTTGGGTTTAGGGGTTTAGGGGTTTAGGGGTTTAGGGTACCCCCAAGCACAGACTCTTAAGACCCAACCTGCGTTGAGGCACAGTGGAGGACTGCAAGCACGAGTGCCTTCAGTATGGGCCGTGCAACGTGCCCTGGGCCTGAGGATTGGACATTTGGTCGTTTTCAGAAAGGAGTCTTAGTGGCTGAGTAGGTAACCTTTAACCTTTTGGGGCTCTTATAATCCTACTATGATTCACAAGGTTAACCTTTTTTGGGTTAGGGTACTCAGCCCTTAAGGAGTTGTTGTTGTGGTTTAGGGTTTAGGGTTTTTGTGGTAGAGGTCTTTTGTGCTGAAGGCTGTATGAGATATTGGAAAGTCTGGCGGCTTGTAGGTCGTCATGGGACTGCCGTACAGTTGGGTACTTAAAGGATCATGGGACTTAGTAAGTAGGGTTATAATTAGGGTAACGATACTCATAACCCCACTTAAGGGCCTTATAACCTTACTTACTAAGTCCCATGATCCTCCAAGCCCTAAACCCTAAACCCTAAACCCTAAACCCTAAACCCATAAGTATAGCTACCCCTAATTATAACCTTACTTACTAAGTCCCATGATCCTCCAAGCAGACCCTGAACCGCCACTTTGAGCTCTGGTTTACAGTTCGGAGAACAGCTGCCAGGGACCTATAGGACCCTAAAGATCCTAAGACCCTAAACCCTAAAGACCCTAAAGACCCTAAAGCCTCAACCTTAAAGACCCTAAACCTTACTTGGAGGATCATGGGACTTAGTAAGTAAGGTTATAAGTCCCTTAATTGGGGTTATAAGTATAGTTTCCCTAATTATAACCCTACTTACTAAGTCCCATGATCCTTTAAGTAAAGCCTCGACCCTAAGAGCCTAAACCGTGGCTAGAAAGCCACAGGATGCGGGTCGGCTCAGGTCTCGGAGGTGTTTTTGGTCTTGTGCCTCAGGCTTGGCTACCCAACCCCCCCAAAAGGATCTAAAAAATAGATCCCCTACGGGGGTTCCTATAAAGTACCCTCTTAGTAGTTAGGGTCCCGAACTAGGGGATCTATTTTCTAGATCCTTTTGGGGGTCTGGGTATAGTGTAAACAGCAGTGGCTCGACACGACCCGAAACCCTAAACCCTAAACCCTAAACCCTAAACCCTGAACCCTAAACCCTAAACCCTACAGGATTGTCCATTCTTGGGGAGCCGACGATGTCAGTGCTACAAGGCATCTAGGCCACGTTTAGGGTTTAGGGTTTAGGGTTTAGGGTTTAGGGTTTAGGCAGAGTCCAGCAGGGAGCAGCCTATGTCTTCGGAGATGGAAGTGGGTAGTTCTCTAAATTAGGGTCCCCAGTTAAGGTCCCCAATATAGTACGGCAGCCTTATAACAAGGATCCTAAAAGGGACCCTAGTTTAGAAAACTACCCAAGTGTAGTTCGTAATGTCAGTTGGGCCGGACAGCAGGTTCCCAGCCGGTAGAATTCTGACGGAGTCTGTTGTCCGGACATACTCCCACGGGATTGAGGTACCAATAACATAGGATGCCAGTCTTGGGCCGATCTGCCTATTGAACACCTACTGCTTATCTTGATACTCCCAAAACCATAAACCCCTAATGTCATGTGCTGAACAGGGGCTTAGCGATATCCCGCTCCAGCAGGCACTGGAGTGGACGCCGACTGCTGGGCGCTGCACGCTGCGGAGGCAGAAAAGTTCCCGAACCTCAAAGCCTAATTAGCCCCTCGATGCCTTTGAAGTAGGGCCCTTTGAAGTAGGGTCTAGGGTTTAGGCCTTGATGCCTTTGGAGTAGGGCTGTTCGAGTTCTCAAACTGAACTGTGAGGGAGGCTCGTGGATACGAACGAGGTCCTGCCATAAAAGTTGGCGGAGGTATTGGCTTCGTTGATGGAAAGCCCCGATTGTCACAATTAGTTCAGAGGCCACACCGTCATATTCAGCATTCCGAGATAAAAACCGCCCCCCGGCATCCTCAGTCGGTGAGAGAGACGGCTGTGAGGTGCGAGTCCTTCGATCATTTGACGCGGATCAACGCCTCAGAGACTGAGCGTGACTCGTCTGGCACTTCAGATACCGTTACAGGCGAGTCTTCAGCGTCGTGCCTGATAGTCCCAAGACAATTATAGCGACACTAGAATATACCTCCCCAACAAAACGTGTACGAGGGTTGGTAGTTGGCTTTAGGTTTTCTCTTTGGTGATGGTGTATGCTTTCGTTACATACCCGTGGATGGGTGTGCGTGAGACAGCGATAAGCTAACAGTCCCTTAGGGCTTCAGGATTTGGTGCCTCTGATCAGAGCTGATGGCTCAAAGTTGAAACAGAATATTCATCGACTCTCGCAGAACTGGATACCGTGGCTTTTGATGAGCAGCTTCGAAAACTAAACCCTAAACCCTAAGCCCTAAGCCCACAACCCGCAAGCTCTCCGGGACCAAGTTTTCCTGTGGTCCAAACTTACTTTCGCCTCTGAAAACTGCAGTTTGTGGAATCCGAAACGAGACTGCGGCAGCCTGCACTTAGCATTCCGGGTATAGGGTTCTATAGCACCTGCACCGCCTATACCTATACTTCGAAGCCATAGAACCCCAAACCCTCAACCTATCGTAGTTATCGCCACTAAACCCTTGCAACCCCAAGCCCCAAGCCCAAGACCCTACATAAACCCTAAGCCCGAACAGCCAGGTTGGTTTTGGATCAACGAGTTGGAGGCAAACGTCAGCGAAGATGCGATGCTCACGTGGGACTCATGGCTCTTTGAAGTTTAGGGTTTAGGGTAGGGTTCCTTGAAGTGGTTTAGGGACTGTGGATGTCGACTCCATAGTGGCTTCTGTTTTGGTTTAACCATCTTTGCATTTAGGATCCTAGAACGTAGCCCCAAAAAAGAAACCCTACCATGGAGACTGTAGGTATAGGGTTCATACTTGGAGGTTCATGGGTAGTTATAAGTAGGGTTATAAGTAGGGTAACTATAATTATAAACCATATTAGGGAACTTATAACCCCACTTATAACTACCCATGAACCTCCAAGTAGTGGTAGGGTTTCTGGGGGGGTGTGAATGAGATAGGACTTATGGTTTTTCCTTTTAAAACCCAATATAGGGGCCTTCATAAGTGGAATAGGCTTTGGGGTTTACTGTACTATAGTTATGCCTAAATAGTTACCTATATTATTTTGGAGGCTCCTTGTTAGAATTATAGAGCATGGACCCCCAAACCCTATTCTTCTATTTATGAAGGCCCCTAGAATACAGAGATATTCATATTATGGGGGCCCGAAAGTCTGTGTCGCTGACTGGCTTGAGGCCTAGGGTTTTAGGGTTTCTGCTGGTGTTGGGTTTAGGTTTTAGGGGGTTTTATAGGGTTTAGGGTTTCTGGGGTTTCTGGGTCTGGTGTAGGCTTTCCAGGGTTTGGGGTTTGCGATCCTGAAGATCCCCTGAAACCCTGCCACCCCCAAACCCTAAACCCTGGTTCAGGGTTTGGGGTTTATTTAGGGGTTTAGGGTTTATTGTTTAGGGCTTAGGGTTTGTAAACCCAGCCCCCCTAAACAAAAACGCAAAAATCATGCCTTCAACATCCTTGCGGCCTGAGGATCTAGCGGCGCGGCAAAGCAAGCTCACGACGCCACTTGGTCGTAGGGGTGCAGGGGTTTGGTGAGTTTGGTGTTCAGGGGCATTCGGTTTGAGGTTTAGGGTTTATAAGGGGGTGCAAGGTTAAGGGTTTGAGGTTTCAGGGTTTCGTGTTCAGGGTCGCAAGGTGTCGGTGCTTTAGGGGCTCCGGACTGTCATCGCAGCTTTTCTGCGGCTTCAGAGGATGCTGGTCTCTTGCGTTTCGGTAACTTAGGTCTTGGCCGTCGGACCCTGGGGCAATAGGCGTTCACACTTTCCTGCTTGAGGGTACTGCTTGCAAGGAGACCAGGCAATCGGCATCCGTCTAAGGACCAGAACCAGCAGGTAACCTTTCGACCCAGTATCGGTGTACTTGACTAAAGCCTGACGTCACCTTCTTCCACAACAGAACTCGGCAACAAAGGTTCATCTGCTCGCGTGTTTTGGCTGCACAAGACATGGCATGGGCAGCGATCCAGTTCAGGTTTGGTGAAAGAGGAAGCTTACACCCATCCAGCTCCAAGAAATGCACGTCGGAGGGACTAGTAAGTAACAATATCCCGGCACACTCCGCATATATATATATATATATATACATATGAATGAATGAGCTCGGATGTATACCATACGATACCCCCGGGGAATACTATTCTGGTTAGTTCGGCTCCAACCACAACAGTCCTGCCAGGATCTGTGGAACTGGGAGGCTTAAGCGGAACAACGAGTAAGAAACCTTGCTGCTTGGGTTTACGGTTTAGGGTAACCTTGCTAGTTTGGGAGCACTATGCAGTGCGTTAAAACTGACATGTTCAGGAGGTGACGCGCAGGGCAGATGCGCTTTCGGTCTGACTGCAGGAAGTGTCTGTTCTTGGCCTACTTACTTCCAGGAAGGTCTTGCGACGTTGTTGATTCCCTGGCTCCGGGTTCCCTCCTGACGGCTCCAGCATTATTTATGATTAAGACTTCGTAATAATGATAATTAGGAAAAGAGAAATTCCTGCCGTCGAAGCAGCGATTTCCAGCTCCGGCCCTGTTCCCGAAGCCTGCTGTGCCAAGGCGCCATTTGCTTCTCGTCTCCTGGCTGCAGTCTCGAAGCCCTCCTGGAGAAGTACTCAAGAAAACCTAATGTGGTTTTGGGATTCCTTAAAAGGGTTCTACAAGGGCTACTATAAGGGGTTTAGGGTTTAGGGGCCTTACTGAAAGGATCATGGGACTTAGTAAGTAGGGTTATAATTAGGGTAATTTATACTTATAACCCCAATGAAGGGACTTATAACCTTACTTACTAAGTCCCATGATCCTCCAAGTGCCCAAAGGGTGACTGTACCAATGTGCTATATACTTTGGTCGTAAAGCGCTTATATAGAGACTACTTTAAGGCCACAGTAGAAACTCGTTGGGCACATGGACTTTTGGGGCTACAACTCCAAACGCTTGAAGTTCGAAAAAGCCCCCACCCCTTGACAGACTGAGGAGGCAAGGCCACGCTAGGCTATCAGCATGTTGATGGCCTGAAGCCCCCCAGCGCCATACTACCTTCATGACGACACTACAATCTATCCCATCCAACAGTATTCAGGCCCCTACATTAGATCCGAAGCTTGGCGTCTCGAACCTGTTCGTTCGTCACCACACCCTAGCAGAAGAGAGATCCAGGGCCCGATCTCGGCCTTGGCTAAGGGTTTTGTCGAAACTTTTGGTTTTGTGTTGCTTGAAGGACTTTGAGAGTCTTTAGGGGTTTTGCTGTTTTGCTCGACAGGGCTTTCAATAGGACACAAATTCATGCAAGGTGTACATATGTCTTAGGTTCGAGTGGCACAGATGAGGTTGGACAAGGCTTGAGTCTATCCCATGACTCAGACGTTGTCATAGTTGGGTAACATTTTACATTTTTAAGGGTACTTAAACCCAATAAGGAATATACATAAACCCTAAACCCTAAACCCTAAACCCTAAACCGCAAGCAGGTCCCAAACCTTGAAGCCTAGACCCTGATCTCCAAATCCTGAGCCCTGGCTTGAGAAAACGGCCGAAAAGATTGCCAATACTATGTTGGGGGGGGTCGGAAATCACGGGGTGTTCCGTATTATAAGTATAGTATTAATGGGGCCCCAAGGACCCTATTCTAATTATCATTATTCATATTACTATTATTACTATTATTATTAATATTATTATAGTAGTAGTAGTAGTAGTATTATTATTACTATTATTTTTATTACTATTGTTTTATTTAGGCCCCTACATGACAAGACTCCCAGGATCATTCTGGCCTGGCGGATCCTGGTCAGCTGCAGCCAGATGGTCACTTCCAAGGTCCGCCCCCTTTACTGCAAGACACGCAGGGGGGCAAGGTAGGGGTCGGAAGGGCCTCAATAATAACCACCCATACTACTATTTATTTATTTATTTATTTATTTATTTTGGGGGGGGTTCCTTCTTATAGTGATATATAGGGGCCTAGATAATAATTACCACTACTACAATTGAAAGGGGTTCCTGCTTATAGTTGTGGTATAGTATACCCAAAACTTTATTCTAATGATTAAGGCCCCTATATGGCTCAGCGAGTATACACGATCATCCATGTATAGTCTCCAGTCCCTATTTCACCAGGATAGTAGTATATATTTATACCCCAATACCCTATTCCCATTCAGAAGGCCCCGACAATAGCTTCAAGAGATTCTTCTGGACCCCTTGATTTGCTTACAAGCTTCACGCGTTGGATTTGCCGAGTCGCTGTAGAGGATTTGAGATCGGAGACATGAAGAGGGCGTCTGGCTGAATTACCCTAAGGGTCCCATGTGAGTACACTTTTACCCTGAAGTACCTATATTATACTTTATAAGGCCAAAGCGTATAGACCATCACTTGGAAATCGGGGGTTGACAAGGCGCTTCATGGTGCTTTTGCAGGGTTTCGGGTAGGGCCTCTCTTTGGTCTTCCCGAAAAAGATTTTCTAGCACATGGACCCTTAGGATTAAGCTTATGACCGAAATGACCCGAAAGACATTGCTACCTCTATGTCAGCTCTCAGGTGTCACGTGACGAGTCGCGGCACATGTGCGACGAGAAACGTAGCGTGAAATACCAGCGTTGCCATTTACCATGTGCATTGAACGCCCCAGACCCCAGCTTCAATCGCCCCTGAAACCCCCAGCCCCCGAGCCGTAGCCAAAAAGCATTCCAGAAATCGCTACAAAACTCCATCGACGTACCACCCCTACCTGGAGGATCATGGGACTTAGTAAGTAAGGTTATAAGTCCCTGAATTGGGGTTATAAGTATAGTTACCCTAATTATAACCCTACTTTCTAAGACCCATGATCCTTTAAGTACCTGTTCCCCACTTCGAACTACTCCTTCGACCCGACTACTTGCGACGCACCCAGGCGCGCGTCATCGAGTGGCTCCTGGTGATCTCCTGTTCCTGTTCAGCAATCATCCCGAATATGGGAGCCTTAATAGCTACCTATACGGTTTGGGGGTATATTGTACCATAACCATAATAACGAACCCCGAAACTAGTATAGGCAATGATTTAGGCTCCTATAGTTGCTTGGTTGCCGGGGGGGTTCTTAAGATAAAGGGTACCTGAATAAATTAGGCCCCTGTATGAAGTAATTAACGGTGAAGTATATTGAATTCAGAAAGATCCTTCTAGGTATGCTTAGGTTGAAGATCTGGATGTAGGGGCTTCGGGGTGGCAGGACTCCTTCGTTCAGGGTTTCCGGGTTAGGGATGCGTCCGATCTATGTTGAGGTCTTGGGTGTTACCAGAATAAACAAGCCCTAAACCCTGCGAACCATAAACCCTGCAAGCCCTAAGCCCTATACTCTAAGGTTGAACCCATGGGCCCCTAGTATGGGCCCTTAGTTCTGGGATCCTTATACACCTACTATATTACCCTACATGTACCCTTAAGGGTCCCTAGAAAGGCCTAGGGGTCCATATTAGGGGCCCTTACTTTTAACTTTAGATACTCGTCGATATGAGTCAGCTACTTCGAAGTCAAAGGCCTCCAGTCGCAGAGTAGCCCTCATCACAACTGAATCACAACTTTATAGCAACCCATATTGCAACCTTGTAGTACCCCTCAGAACAATCCGTTTTATACCAACTTTACTATACAGGAACCCTTAATTGTAGGCATCCGGCACGTGATTTCTGGATATGCTGCTTGCTACAACCGCCTGAATCGTACGATCCGTAGAGCGCAAACTTCTGGCAGCAAGCCCAAACCGCTTACACCAAACCCTGAACTCCGAATAGTGCGAACCCCGCAAAGCATGAAGCTCCGGCAACCATACCGACCCTTGCGCCCGAGCACTTCCAAAATCGCTCACCTTAAGCCCGGGCTCTGTCAAGCCGCCGACGCGAACTCTAGCACCCCAACCCCAAACCCCAGAAGTCTGCAAGAAAACCCTACAAAGCCGTTACCCTAAACCTCAAAACCCTGTAACATAATAAAAAAACTTTCAGAACCCTGCGAGCACAAAACCCTAAAACCCCGAAGGCTGCGTCGTTTCCTGCCTCCTCTTCTTGACTTATGAGATGATGCCAGAGCGCTTTGTGGGCGTCGGGGGCTCAGCCGAGGCTTCGGAGACGAGGAGTTGCGGGCTTTCGTGGTTTTGGGGTGTAGGGGTTTAGGGTTTAGGGTTTAGGGATGTAGACGTCCTTAACCCCACCGGCACTCATTCTAAACACGAAGTACTAAACCCTTATCAGACACTGATATAGGCTTGAGATGCTGATCACCCTTCAGCCCTATAGATTGTAGAGCTCAGCAGCCTTATAGCCCCCTTCAAAAGCCCCATAAAACCCTGTAAAAAGCCCTGCAGCTGCCCTAACTATACAACCCTACTTAAAGGATCATGGGACTTAGTAAGTAGGGTTATAAGTAGGGTAACTGTACTTAGAACCCCAATTAAGGGACTTATAACCCCCTACTTACTAAGTCCCATGATCCTCCAAGCCCTAAACCCTAAACCCTGAACCCTAAACCCACAAGTATAGTTACTCTGATCATAACCTTACTTACTAAGTCCCATGATCCTACAGCTGCTGAGGATAAGAACCACCCTAAAACCCTAAACCCTAAAACCCTTAAAGCCTCAAAACCCCAAACCCTAAACCCTTAAAGCCCTACAGCTGCTAAGGATAAGAACCACAAGATTGACGAGGTCATCCCCTTCGACTTCCCGATCTCAGGCGGATTCAGCCTACCGCAAGCCTTGGAGCCCTGGTAATGCCTGCTCCGAGGGTTTAGGGTTTAGGGTTCAGGGTTTAGTGTTTAGGGTTTAGGAAGGAAAGTCGACAGTAATTTCCAAATCCAGAAACTACAGAAGCCTTCTTAAGCATCTCTGCTTGGTCTAAGCATAGTTAGATCTTTTTAAACACTATGTATTCGGTGGGCAAGCAACTCTTTCTACAGACCTTTGCTGAAAGGACACACCACAAGCCGCGAACCCCGAACCTAAACTGAAAAGCCTTTACCTTAGTGGCTGAGTAGGTAACCTTTAACCTTTTGGGGCTCTTATAATCCTACTATAATTCAAAAGGTTAACCTTTTTTGGGCTAGGGTACTCAGCCCTTAAGTTACTGAAACTTGGACAGCAAGCAACTCTCGCCCAAGAGCTCTTGAATTTACACGGATCTGAGTTTAGGGTTAAGGGTTCAGGGTTTAGGGTTTAGGGTTTAGGGTTTTAGGGTTTAGGGTTTAAGGTTCAGGATCTGAAAGTTTAACATTTTATTGTCCTGGCTTATTGGGGATGTAAGTTACCTCTTGGAAGGCTGCCCCCTTTGACAGTTTACATGCAAGCAGGTTTTGATCTTCATGCTGAGCGCGTTCAGTGTGAACCTTCTGTGAAGATTCGCGCGGCTGGGGTGGAAGATTAAGAGAAACTCCTCCGGCAAGCTGTTGCAGGTGTCTCCCGGAACATCACGAGGCCCAGTTGCAGAGTTCGGAGCTGATATTTCGGCCATGTCTCTGTCGTCTCCACTCCGAGTGGCCAGACTGCTAGATTGATGCCCTAGACCCTAAACCCTAAGCCCTCCTTGCTTAATTGAAAAGCTTTTCTGTGCAAAATATCTCCAGAGCTCCGACGGCACCATACTTTGGACAGAAAGCTGCAGGAGTGCTTCTGTTTCTGCCCTGTCACTTCGAATCTTACGCCCTTGATGGGCCTGAAATCGAAAAGTCCGAAGCCTTGAGAACCCCTGAACATCAAACCCCACCCATGTCTTGAAAGCACTACTCTCTTTGGGGTGTATTTCGCAGGCTCATCGCGTTCCCCGTGCCGCTTGTCGAAATGCTTAAAAGTGTGGGGGGGGGGGGGAGCGGTGGTGAAGCCCCGGCCTTTCAAGAAGGAAGGTGGAAGTCCTCTCCAGGGTATCAGAACCTACTTGGAGAATCATGGGACTTAGTAAGTAAGGTTACAAGTCCCTTAATTGGGGTTATAAGTATAGTTACCCTAATTATAAGCCTACTTACTAAGTCCCATGATCCTTTAAGTTCCCTAAACCCTAAACCCCTTTAGGGGAGTTGTGGCCCTTGTGTGCCAAAGGCGAGGTGTTTGCGGGTAAAGAGGTGGCATTTGGATCCAGGATCCAGGAACCCAGAAGTGCTGCTGTAGAGAGGGTTTAGGGTTTAGGGTTTAGGGTTTAGGGTTTAGGGTTTAGGGTAGGAAACTCGATCTCCGACTGGATTCTGGCATAGAGGGCGCCTTTTCGGCTTTCGGGTGTAGGGGGGTTTAGGGTTTAGGGCTTGAGCGTTTTCGGGTTTAGGGGTTTAGGGTTTGTTTGCCGGACAGATGCTTGCAGCATCTGGACAAGTGTACTTCAGGTACAACGGCGACATGTACTTCAAGGATCATGGGACTTAGTAACTAGGGTTATAACTAGGGTAACTATACTTATAACCCCAATTCAGGGACTTATAACCTTACTTACTAAGTCTCATGATCCTCCAAGCCCTAAACCCTAAACCCTAAACCCTAAACCCTAAACCCTTATTTACTAAGTCCCATGATCCTCCAAGTAGGCTTCTCCGGCATGCCTTGGCATGCTCCTGCGCTCGGTACCGAGGTACATGATGACGATTACTGCATCTTGGTGTTCTTCTGATTGGCTCTTAGGACTTTAACTTTTTGGGTTTCTATATAACTAACTATAATANNAGGGGTTCAGAAGTCAGCCAAGGCATATCCTTTCCGCTTCTTTCCTTGCTGCGTCTTCCTCATCGGTACGCTCTTCATTATGTGGGTGGAGTTCTGGCGCATCTTCCCTGGGTGGCTCGCATATTATTCAGACCCTTAGCTTTGCAGAAGCTCAGAAGCTACGTCCAAAAACCCAAACTCTACGCAGGCCAACCCCTGCATGAACCCCCAAAGAGCGAAAGACGTGGATCCCAGACGCCGATGTAATCCTTACACTTGCAGACCTCTAAACTTTAGACTCTAAACCATAGATCCTAAGCCCACGAAAGCCACCACGGTTCAGCTTGGCAAATACTGGGCATTAGCTTCGCAGGCTTTGGGGCACTGTAGGGCGTAGACCTAAATAATTTACAATGCTATTTTCAGGGCTCTTGATTATAATTTTAGTATAATGGGCGGCCTGTGACCGGTCTTCGAGTCGTGCCACCAATACGTAGTTATAGTAACCTCGGGTAGTTGAGGGTGGGTAAGAAGTACGGTTCGGCATTCTGGATACGAAGGTTGCGCTAATAATATGGACTGCTAGATCAAGTTTCTGGTGATTTGCAGTCTGTTAGGAGCACTTGCCATAGCTTGGGTGATCTCCGCATGAAGCTGTCCGTCTCACGTGCGATAATTACTGGACATCCCTTCTCCAGGGCACTCCAACCATGAGGTCACCTGATGCGAACCTATGCCTGTAACCGAAAAGACCTACCGTTT